CCTCTCTTCCTCCAGAGTCCTCCGTCTTGAGATGGCCCCGTTCTCCTTGGACTAGGTCTCCACTATCCTAAGTAAATCTGCTCATGCCTCTGAAAAGAGGAAAGAAAATGCTTGCCGACCCTGCCCCGGGGGTGAAGGACCCTTGGCGACCCTGCCCTGGGTGTGAGGGACCCTTGGTGACCCTGCCCTGGGGTGTGAGGGACCCTTTGGGAAGCCTGCCCTGGAGTATGAAGAAATCCTTGGTGACCCTGCCCTGGGGTGTGAGGGGATCCTAAGTGACCCCTGCCCTGGAGTGTGAGGGACCCTTGCCAACCCCTGCCCTGGGGTGTGAGGGGATCCTAGGTGACCCCTGCCCTGAGGTATGAGGGACCCTTGCCATCCCCTGCCCTGAGGTGTGAGGGACCCTTGCTGACCCCTCCCCTGGGGTGTGAGGGACCTTTGGCAAGGCCTGCCATGTGCGTTGCTGTTTTTGAAGCCGAGTCCTGTTGTTTTGCCCAGACTGGTCTCCACTCAGGTTCAAGCAGGTCGAATAGGCTCCCCAGGGAAAGGGCTGATGACCCTGTCCTTGGCCACCTTTCCTTGGTGCTACTAGGGGTCCCACCCAGGGCCTCATACGCTGGGCACTCCGCCCACCTCTGAGCCATTCCAGGCCTCATCGAGAGGACAGACAGAGTTCACCTCATCTGAATGATTTCTTTCTCACAGGAGGCTCACTCCCAGGCCTGGAATTGATGGGAACTGATAAGGCACTTCCACTTCTTTAGGTAATTTTAAAAATCCTGAACATTCTTTTTCATATATTGTTCAACATTTTTGAGTAAAGGCAATAAAATCGAAAAATTAATTTGGAAAAAATAAAAGTAGACTCCAAACCTCTGGGGAAGTGGTGAAGTATCTGTGAACACCTGACTTTGGAATATGGAGCCACACCTGAGCCTCTGACGGGGGTAGACCAGCCAAGCAGTCTCCACTGGCTGCCCCGCTCAGCTCTCCAGCTTGGAAAATTTTTTCCCCAGTACTGGGAATTGAACCCAGAGGCACTTGACCACTGAAATACATCCTCAGCCCCCCCCCCTTTTTTTTTCTTTTGAAATCTTGAGACAGGATCTCACTAATTTGCTGACGCTGGCCCCAAACTTGTGATCCTCCTGTTTCAGCCTTCCCAGTAGTTTGGATTACAAAACTTTCAAGACACAAGATTTTCAAGAGAAAAATGCCCAACTATAAATAAACTTTCAAGAGACATGATTTTCCTTTCTTTGCCCCCTAATGTGATTTTTCTGAGTAAGAGGCTCCTACTTTCACTTCTCTTATTGGTGACAGTGGAATCATTAGCCCTTTACTTGAGGAGGTTATTCAGTGTTTTTCTTCCATTTGGGTTCCCTTTGATGGCCATGTGTTTGGTGTTTCTAGCACTTTCCTAATAAGACTAGAAAAAGTGGTATATACTGTTTTTCTTTGACTTGGTCTAGAATTAAGTGTGAGATTTCCAAGTGGAAAATGAACAGCAGCTCAAAAAGCTTTGACTTCAGAGTTCAGAGTGTTCTGAGACTGATCTAAACTAGATTTATGTTCCGGGTGTTTTCTGATCACACTATTTTAATATTCATTCATTCATTCACTCATTCATTGGGTGCTGGCCCCAGGGCCTGGCACACTCAGAGATCTACCCTGAGCCACCACTGTGCACTAAAGCATTTACACCGGCTGGTCCTCCCTCCGCCCCTTCCGCAGCTGTTGAAAGAGCGCCCCCTGTGGGCCTGTCAGCCAGCCGCTGCAAGCCCCGCAGCCCCCTGGGAATCACCCATCCCAACCTGTCAGACCAGAACCTTCGACTTGACCATTCTTACCAGAGCATTTTTACTGCCCTGAAATGAAATCCTGAGACAAAATGTCCAACCTGCACCCACGATTTCAAAACAAATCAGCACAAACCCTAAAGCACAACGTAAGAGAGGAGAGCGTGAGAACCAGTTGGAGAGCACTTGAACCAGCCGGCTCCCTGGGCTCCGGAGACGCCCTGCCAAGGTCCCTGTGCCCCAACACTGACTGCACCACGCACACGCCAGCTGCAGAGAAGCCGGAGTAGGTCCTGGCATGTGGCAGAGATCAGGAGGTTGGGAGGGCAGGGGGCAAAGGGTGGCTGGGCTGCATGGCTGGGCCACCAGAGTCACAGCGTGTAATAGCCCAAAGGAAAAGGCACCCAGTGAGAACCAAACGGTCAGCTCCAGGTTCAGATCATCCACCTGGATCGATGACGAGCAGCACACTTGGAAGTCACAGGAAAGGTTCATGCTGTACTGTGGCCCCCTGGCCCCACTCACCAAACTTTATGGCTACCTCAATCAGTGGATCTATTGAAAGATCTTCAGTGCCTTTCCAAACTGCTCCCATGTGAAGGGGACACTGCCAGGCACAGTAGCATGCACACTGAGTCCCAGAGACTCCGGAGGCTGAGGTGGGAGGATCACTTGAGCCTAGGAGTCCAAGACCAGCCTGGACACACAGTGAGACTCCACCTCGGTTTTTATAAAAATGATCCTTGTATCCCCCCCCTCCCCCCACATTGGCTCCTTGGAGATCAGCCAGCAAGAGATCACAAAGCGGACCCTGGGTCTCACCTGACTCCAAAATAACCCAGTGAGACGCATGGTTGGTGGTGTGATCCTCACTGGGCGTGTGCAGACCAAGGTCTCTCCCTTTCCAACTCAGCTCCACTTGACAGCACCCCTACAGGTGACTGAGCCCTGGCCATGGAAGAGTGGGCAGAGAAAGGCTCCACCCACCCACTCTTCTCCCTTCCCTATGCACAGTAGTCCCTGAAGCCTCGAGTTAAGGGTGGAGAACGGCAAGACAGAAAGAGCCTGGGCCTACAGATGAGGGGAACAGACAAGGTCCAGCCCTGGAACAGCCACTGGAGGGTGCAGAGGGAGCCAGGGCTTTGGGATGGAGTCAGATCATTAAGGCCTAATCGTTAAGAAGTAAATCATTAAGACTTAATTAATCAGGAGAGCAAGTGTTTCCTTGACTAATGCATCCAGGAGTACCTTATCCTTGCCAATACCTGGACAAGAAGTGACTCTTAGTCATTCAGTGAGAAAGTTGTTTTTCAGGAATCCATGAGAGAGAGAGGGTAGAAAGAGTAGCGTATAAAATACAAACATGCATGTTTATGTGTATGTGTGTGTATATATACTGGGGATTGAACCCAGAGGAGCTTGACCACCGAGCCACACCCCCTAGCCTGTTTTATTTTGAGACAGGGTCTTGCTGAATTGTTTAGAGTCTCACTAAATTTCCCAGGCTGGCCTCAAACTTGCAGTCCTCCTGCCTCAGCCTCCTGAGTTGCTGGAACTGCGGTTGTACACTACTGCACCCAGAAGTAAACAACAAATGTTTTAAATAGACATATGAAGAAGAAATACAAATGGGACATGCAAAGAAGCTAATCTCCTTAATGACTGGGGAAATGCAAATCCAAACCACAACGAGATGCCACTTGACACCCACAAGGATGGGCACAAAACAGAAAGCGGCAAGTGTTGGTGGGAATGCAAGGGTGCTCTACCACTGAACTACACTGCCCCAGTTCTACAGTTCTTTATTTTCTTTTGAAACAGGGTCTTGGTAAGTTCCCAGGGTGGTCTCAAACTCGAGAACTTCCTGCCTCAGCCTCCCCAGTTGCTGAGATTACAAGCACACACCACCACCTCTGGCTCCCCTCCATTTTATTTTATTTTATGTTTTTGTACCAGAGACTGAATTCAGAGGCACTCAACCACTGAGCCACACCCCAGCCCTATTTTGCATTTTATTTAGAGACAGGGTCTCACTGACTTGCTTAGTGCCTCGCTGTTGCTGAGGCTAGCTTTGAACTTGCAATCCTCCTGTCACAGCCTCCCAAACCGCTGGGATGACAGATGTATGCCACCTCACCCAGCGGGCTCCCCTTAATTACTACCATCGGTCTCCCTGGGCTTCTGTGTGCACCAGGCCTCAGCAGCCGCTCCTGGGCCACGACAATACAGGGGAGGTGTGAGCCGTCAGAAGCCCACACTCAGTGCACGCACCCCCTTTCTTCTTCCCTTCCAGACTTTGAACCCTGTCCCTAGGTCAGTGATGCTGGTCACCAGCAATGGGCAAGAGTGGGTTGGGAAGGTGACGATGTCCCCACCCACTGCCTACTTTAGCCCTCCAGGGACAGGCCATCCCTTCTGGGATATGCAAGCTCTTCCCCTGGTCCCTCACAGGCCTGTCCAGCTGATCCTGCGGGCAGTCCCCTGCTTGCAGCCCTCCCAGCCCTCTTCTCCCCTGTAGGTCATCACTCACCAGCTCTCCCTGCACAGCCTCCCCACTCTCAGCCCTGCCACCTCTAACACCCYCAAGCCAGGTCGTCCTACAGTGTGCCCACCAGGCTGGATCTCCCTGGGTGCAGGGGCAGGGCGGGTCCTGGCACACCCCATCAGCTAGTCCTGGGGACTCAGGGCCTAGGTTTGACCTAGCCCCACCCCAGGCAGAGCTGGGGGCCCCTCCAGCGTTCCAGCTCCCAAGTCCTCTACCTCCCTCATCTTCCTGTGTGACAGTCAGGATGGCCTTGCCTGCTTCCAGGTCCAGCTGAACCCTGGTCACCAGACTGGTCACCTCGGCCACTGCTCAAACAGAAAAGAAGTGAAGCAGTGTCCCCCAGTTAAGTCAGCCCCCGCAGCAGTCCTGTAGGACCTGGAGAATTACGGCCTCTCCGAACCTCTCCAGCTGACACAGTGGGTCACCGCCATGCCCTGGGCACCTCCCAGGGGCAGGAGGCCTTCAAGCTCACACTGCTTGGCACAGGTCAGCGGGGTCAGCGCCTTAGCGGAAAGCAGAGGACGGTGGAGACCTGGGCCTCCAGGGACGAGGGCGGAGACCCCGCCGTCCACCTCTAGCGCCGGCCCCGCCCCGCACCCCGCCTCCCCGGCTCCCGCGGCGACGGAGTGGAGCCGCGTCGCCACCCGCCCGCCCGACGGTGCCGGTGCCGCGGCGACACCATGCAGCCGCGGCTCTGGCTGCTCCTGGCCGCGCAGCTGGCGGGTAAGCGGGACGCAGGCGGGACTGGGCGGGACTCGGCGGGGTCGAGGCGGCTGGCAGGCTCGGTCCCCAGTGGGAAGGAAAGTCCCTCGGAGCCCAGTAACCCCGGGACCCGAGAGCCGCTCTGGAGAAGGGAGGACCCAAGAGGAGGGACGGGAGGAGGGAGAAGAACGGAGGGGTACAGGGAGAAAGAAGAGAGGTCCTCGCGGTCCCCACGGGGATTTGCCCCTGGAAGGAGCCAGGAGTAGCCTGGTCTTTGAGCCCCACACTTGCCCTGAGCTGAGGGTCCTGTGGATACATTTTTATCACTTCCGGGAAGTGTCCTCTCTAGTCCCCTCACTCCGCTGTCCTTTGGTGTGGGGTCCTGTGTGGTGGGATTCCCCCAAAGAAGCAGGGTTAGCGCTGGAGTTGGCAGGAGGCATGGGTCAGAATGGCACCTCTGGCTAAGTCCCCCCAGACTACCTTTTGGAAGAAGGCCCCCCACACCTCAAACTGCCCTCTAGCCTGTGGTCCCCAAAGCCAAAAGCTGTCATTCTGCCAGCAGGGGACAAGGCCTGACAGCACCAAGCTCTGACCCGGTGAGCTCAGCCATATCCAAACAGCAAGAACCCAGATCAGGCCAAGCCACAGAACTCCGCTGATCATTGGTGGCTCTGGAACCCTCACAGGCCTCTGAGAAGGGACAACTGTAGGTTACTGGGAGCCACAATGAGACCAGCTTGGGGGCTGGCTCTGTGTCCGGCCCAGTGGGGGCTCTGTCTCAGCCTGGGGTTCAATCTCCAGAGGCCAAGAGGAAAATGGCCCAGAGAGCAAGAGAGCAGGAGCAGGGCGTGCCTCCGCAGGAGGGGAAATGGCCCCCGCTGCCCAGGGAGGCTCTTCTGGGCTTTCTGGGCCAGGGTTTGGGTGGCGGAACATTTGCTGCCCCACTGTGCACATAACCTAGATCTGGGAGAGGAGGGCGGATTTCAGATGCCGTGAAACCTGCTCCAAGCGCAGGTGCTGGGGCCCCTGCAATCTGGATCCATCTGCCAGGCTGTGTGACCTTGAACGGTTCCTTCCGTCCCTGGGCCTGAATGTAAAACAGGTCTCCTTTAATCCTCAGGACCCAGTGAGGGTTAAATGAGGAAACACACACACCCTCCCAGGCGCAGCTCAGGAAATACTGTCGTTATTGATTCTTATTAACTCCCCAGTGAGGAAACTCTGCTGGGTGGCCTGGTGTCTGGGAAGAGAGGAGGTCCTGCTGCTACTTGGGCCCCAGGTGCCATCTCATTCTGCATGTCAGCAGAAGCTCGAGTGGCCTGGGAACAGCATCAGGAAGTTCAGGTCCACCTCATCAGTACTGGAGAAGCCATTGTGGGAACACTGGGCTTGAGCCACGAGTAGGGCAGGAGAACCCTGGTCCAGGCAGTGCCCTGCTGCATGCCCCACGCACACATGCTCACACCCCAGTCTCCTCTGCCCACCCAGTCTGTGTCCTCTGTGCTTTGCCATGGTCTGCAGGGTCCCCCTCTGCTCCTTGCCCAGTCAGAATGGGCCTGTTGGGAACCTGTGTGACCTGGCAATACTGTGAAGGGGACCCATTGGGATCCTTCTTGAGGTCTTACTTGTCGTTCGTAGCAGCTCCTGGGCTGTGGACAGGAGGACAGTGTCTCCCTGCGTGGAGGGCTCTGCAGCTTGAGATGGTTCTTTGGTGCCCTTTCCTTTCTTTCTGACCCTCAGGCCGACAGGACAGCTGTGGCCACCAGCCAGGGAACCTGCCCGGCTCCCAGCAGCTGGATTCAGCCACTCACCCACATAAGGAGAGAGGGAGCCATGTCGAAGGGCACTGAGGGATCTGAGGCTGTTTGGCCAGGACTGGGAGAAGCAACCAGTCTGTCCCCACTGGTCCCCTAGAAACCAAGGCCAGGAGACAGTCACCTGGGGATGGAGCAAGGCTGTGCTAGCCAGAGAGGTCGTCACAGGCCGTCTTGCCTGGGCCAGGGGTGGCTCTTCAGTCCCCATTCTCAGCAGTAGGAAGTCCAGAGAGAACAACTCTCACCAGGAAGAAGGGGAAGGAAACAAGTTGGGGCTTTTGATTCTGCTGGGCCCTGCTACAAGACAGCCAGGGGAAGCCACCTCCCTCACGGCGTCTCAGGCCTAGACTCGGTCCCACAGGTGGCCCACAGCAGAGGCAGGTTTCTGCCAAGCCTCGAGGTCCCCTCTAGCTCCTGGTGGACAAGCCCCACCTGCGGGGAGGCTCACGTGAACACCTGCTCTGCTCCTGGGGTGCGTCCTTCCACACAGAATGGGGTTCTGCGACCGTGGATCACTGAGCTAGGAGTGATGGGGCAACTGTGGCCACTGGGACAGTGAGCCCCTTCTGCTGTTTGTCCAGAGTGGTGGCTATCCTCAGCTCGTCCAGACCAGCTATGGGCTCTGCCTGGCACTCAGTCTCTCCCGGCCCTCCTGAAGTGGCTTGAGCTACCGAGGCCTAAGCGTAGAGTGGCCCCAGCTTTGACTCAGACTTTGGATCCTGTGGTTTGAATCCAAAGCTACTTGCAAGTAACTTTGGACAAGTACCTTCATGGCCAAGTTTTCTCCTCTATGCAATGGAGATTAAACTCCTGAAGCCAGGTTGAGGGCCAGACATATCCATGTGCTACCCACAACTGGCCGTGGTCTCTCCTGTACCTATGGTAAAGCTTGGCATAGGAAATACCTGGCAGCTGATCTCCTGGGTCGTGAGATGTGTGAGCTCTGAGTGCAGAGGCACCCATCACATTCACACCTGGGCCCTGTCTCTGGACAGGTTCTCCATGGCTTTCCCTCAGGCACCCGCTCAGTGTGACTAAGGCCTCACATGGTGGCCAGAACATGTGCTGATGGTCTCTGCCCCCTGGTCTCTCGTAGCTCTCCACGGTGGCTCTGCCTTCCAACAGACCCCTGGGTTCACGGTGGCTCTGACCCACCAAGTGGTGACGCTGTCCTGTAAGACCACAACCTCCTCGAGCCAAGTGCGTGTCTTCTGGCTGCGACAGCCCCAGCCCCCCAGTGAGCACAGCTGGTACCAGTTCCTGGCCTCCTGGTATCCACAAAAAGGGACGACATATGGAGAGGCAGTGGCCAAGGAGAAGCTGACTCCGTTCTCAAATGCCACCGGGCACTTTCTCAACCTCACGAGCGTGAGGCCTGAGGACAGTGGCGTCTACTTCTGCATGACTGTCGGGGCCCCTGAGCTGACCTTCGGGAAGGGAACTCGGCTGAGTGTGGGTAAGAACGGCGCTCTGGGCTGGCCACTCTCGGGAGCCTACTCTGCAGCCATGACCGAGAGCTGGGCATCACCGAGGGCGAGTGCGGGCCTGGCCAGGGCAGGCACCCGCCGCATTTCCCACGGGGTGTCACTCAGTGCTGTACCCGCCCAGCTGGGGGCATTTTACCACTCCCATCTTACTTGAAGTCAGACGAGCCTGAAGGAGACAGGGGCCATGCTTCTCATGGGGACAGGGCAGTGCTGTCCTTCAGGCCCACCTGGTGAATCCCAGGATCCCAACGGTGCAGACAGGGAAAGAAGCTTCCCATTGCCTGCATACACTCAGCAAAAGTATGTCTGGGTAATGGAGAGGCAGATTCCCCAAATGTTCTTTGTGGGGCCTGTGGTTCAAGCCCGCACTTGAAGTTTAGGGATGAAGGAAATTGGACCCCAGGCTCAGCTGTGCTGTGAATCTGCCACGTGCCTTTGGGTAGGCCACTCCCTCCTGGCCTCAGTTTCCTCCTCTGCTCTGGGGGCTGCTGACAGCCTCGTGTCCCCTCAGGCCTGAGAAGCATCAATGCCCTGAGTTAAGGCAGCGTACAATGGCCGCACACTGTAAGCTACGGGTGTAAATTAAAATTTTAACAGCCAGATTTTAAAGTGTAAAAAGAAACAAGTGGAAGACTTTACGTGACGTTTTACTCAGCCATTGCGCAGTTCACAGAGTGCTCACACTGAGTGCTGGGGGTTTACTGATGCTTGTGGCGTGTCCACCCAGACTGGCACGCGCCCAGCCGCACGTGGCCAGGGGCTGCTGTGCTGGCAGAGAGGGAAGTGGACATTCCCTCAGGCCTGCACCCAGCTGTGGCCCCTTCCCCAGCTTAGCCTGTGGCCGGGCCTCCCATGGCTTCCACCCACCAGGGGTACAGAGCAGGACTGGGGGACCCCAGAAATCACACTGCTCAGCATAAGAAGGTGCAGGACAGCTGGGGACAGTGGCTGAGTTAGGAAGACAAAAGCCAGAGCGATGCGATGCCTGTCCTCAGCCTGGGGTCAGATTCTGGGTGAGAAGCAAGGCCTCCTCGGGGAACAGTGTTGAAACCCAGCTTGAGGGTTGGGTTGGTGTTGGTTTACAGCCTTGGCTCTGAAAGCCCCCGTCTCCCCACCGTGAGACTCCAGTCTCTGTGGAGTAAGTGCCACTGTTTTCCAGAAACCTCTCACCACCTTCACCCCCACCCCCCACACCTGGCTTCAAAGCCACTGCTCACCTCCCAGGACTGGCCACAGCTCCCGAAGCTCCCCAGAGCCCAGGTGTGCAGAGCTAGCACCCACCTGTGTGGCTGAGGTCCTGCGTGTCAGAAAAGCCTGGGTGGTGGAGAGGCCCGTCACCAGGCCTCGAGGTGTCCCAGGGCTCAGAGGGCCTGCGCCTTCCAAGGCCAGAGAGAGAGCAGCCGAGGAGAACTAGACTCTGCAAGAAGGAATTAAAACAGAACAAGCCTCCGCCCCAAGCCCCCACAAGGCCCAGGCCTGTGGTGCCAGCCCCATCCCCTCCGGGCTCCTGCTCCAGCTGAGGGACTCCCTGCAGGCCAGTGGAGCTCCCGGGTCACAAGCGCCGAGCCCGCTGTTCATCCTCTTACCGTGGTCCCCAGCACCCTCAGGTCACCTAAGGCTCAGGTCAGCCTAAGTATTCCACCTTTGTCAGAAAACGTTGGTGCCCGGAGCAGAGTGGTGACAAGAGGAGTGTTGGGGTGGAACCAGGCTCTGGGTTCAGATCCTGACTCCCCGGTTGGTATGCACAAGCTGTTACAGCCTCTGAGCGGAGGCCTCCTCAGCTGCTCGCTAGGCCCAGGCTCATGGGGGCCGTCCTCTCAGGCTGAAGTGCCAGGGAGCTCAGGATAGTCTATTCTAGTTTCCCCAGTTCTTCCCAGGAACACCATAGAGCAGGCAAAGCTGCCGCGTCCTCCACCTTCTGGAGGAGGCCCAGGAAGAGAGGCCCCGTGTCCTCTCTGCGTATGGAAGGCGCCAGCCCATGGGGACCATCGCCAGCCACCCCTCCTTGCTCCCCCGGCTCATCTTGCTTCCCTCTTCTCCGTCGTACCACTTTGCCAAAAGATGGCCTCATTGAGGGGGGCGAGGGCTGGTGGCTGCCATGCTCACTCACGGCTCGCTCAGCTCTGCAGAACCCTGGGTCTCCCTTCCCTCTGGGGGTGGCCTCACTGCCCTCTCCCAACCCTGCAGCAGGGGACACTGGCCTGGGGAAGGAGGGCAGTGGTGCTTGGGGGCCCAGCCCAGCACTGGCCTGTGAGGCCTCCTTCAGCCCCCATTGCTGGAGTTCACCTTTGAAGTTGCAGTGGAGACTACAGGTCCCCTTAGTCTTTCAAGGACAGATAAGAAGGAGAGCAATCCCAGACAGGCGCCCTGTATGGCTCAGTCCCGGAGCAGGGTGGCCCCTTCCCATGAGCCTCTCTGCTGGCTCAGGGGTGGCCAGGGCCGGGGCTGGCTGTGCCAAGGCCTGGGGACTCCAGCGGCAGCTCACAGCCTCCTGCCAGGCAGCCCTCGTACACTTTGCAGCCACAGCGACCCTGAGAAGGAGGTGGAGTCATGTTATTGTGGCAGGTGGGGACGCTGAGGCTCAGAGAGTGTGCAGGCTTTCCCACATCTCATGGTGGCCGTCTCACAGTGGCTGACCAGGGTGTTGAATCTGGTATGGGGGCTGCAGAGCCCCTCTCTGCAGGACACAAAGCTGGTCCCCATTCCTGGGCCTCAGATACATCTGAGATTCCAGAAAGGGATCAAAATTCTTTTGCTCTGTCACTTGAATCCCTGTGGCAGCCCAGGGAACTATCATAGGGACTTTTGTGCCTATGATGTAGGCAGCTTTGAATTTGTCTCTACATCCACTTGCTGTTTATCTGATTCGGGTGTATCTTGCTTTCCTTCTGTAGTTGATGCTCTTCCTACCACTGCCAAGCCCACCAGTAAGTCTGTCCCCAAGAAAAGAACCTGCCAGCGCCCTAAGCTGACAGCCCAGAAGGGTGAGTCTCCATCCCCAGCACCCTCAGAATGAGGCAGGCGTTCTCCCCTCCTTCCTTCCCACCTTCCTCTCCTCCTCCCCTCCCTCCTCCCCTCCTTCTTCCTCTAAGCCCTTGCCAAGTGTTCACTCTGTAGCCTGATTCCCCAGCCTGAGCTGGGTCCAGAAGGGACACTGAGCAACAGCAGCTCCCTGTCCAGTGGTCAGACTCACAAATCATCACAGACAGACCCCAGAGAGAAACTACCACCAAAACACTTGCACACGATGGTTCATTTTGGCTGAAAGCAGAAACAACCCAGATGTCCACCAGCTAATGAATGTGATAAAGTATGGCCTCTGTTACAGCAGCACATCGGCCACGTAAAGAACCAAGAGCCAATAGGTGCCCTGGCTGGATCTTGGAACTGCTACGCAGTGGAAGAGGCCAGTCCCAGAAGGCCACGTGCTACACGGTGCCCTGCTATGAATTGTGCAGGTGGCACTCCATAGGAACAGAGGGCGGGTGAGCGGCTACCCTGGGAGGGCTAGAGAGTGACCTGGGGAGTGGCCCAAGGATGCAGCTCAGCGGGACAGAGACAGAGAGGTGGAGAAGTGATTCCTGAGGGTGCAGGGTTTCTTTCTGGGGGTAGGGACAAACGTGAGAATATGGTAATGGTCACATTATTCTACCAAGATGGAAAGAGCCACCATGTTGTGCACTGGGAACAGGGAGCTTTATGATACGCAGATTGTGCCTCAGAAAGACTGTTCAACAAAACCCAACCCAGGCCGGGCGCTGTGGCACCCTCCTATAATCCCAGCAGCTGGGGAGGCTAAGGACGAGGGTCACAAGTTCAAGGCCAGCCTGGGCAACTTAGCAAGACCCTGTCTCAAAATAGAAAATGAAAAGGACTGGGGATGTGGCTAAGGATTGTAGCTCAGAGGTTCAATCCCCAGCGCCAACAGAAAACAAAAACACACAGGCACAAAAACAGCCCCCGGCTCCCTCCCTCCCGTGTCCTACCCATGGAGTCAAGGCTGAGCATGGCTGTGTCTCTCCAGGTCTGCCCTGTGGCATTGTCACCCTCAGCCACACTTTAAGTTTTAAAACTCTCCCCATTTATCTTTTTGGTTTTTAGTTGTAGATGGACACAATAGTTTTATTTTATTTATTTGTTTTCACGTGGTGCTGAGGATCAAACCCAGGGCCTCGCATGTGCTAGGCAAGCATTGCACCACTGAGCCACGCCCCAGCCCCTCTCCCCATTTTGATGCTTAACTGAGGACCTAACACATGGGATGGGCTCACTGTCTATTGGTCAGTGAGTGGACAGAACGGCCCATCTATGCTGTAAGCACCAGACCCCATAGCTGAAGTGGCACATGCACACAATGTGTCCACACACACACACACACACTTTTTTTGATCATCAGTCCAAACATGTTTCTGGAAAACTACCGACCTCAGACCCTAAAAGTAACTGGTGACAAACAGAAAGTACCATCTGCCACTTCCCAGAGACAAGCCGCAGCATCCCCACCCCCACGGGACTGACTTCTGTGGTGGGTGGCTTTTGTTACCATACAGAGTGCCTGACAGGGGCTGAGGAGGGGCACCCACAGGACTCGGGCTCAGCTCAGGGAAATCAGAGCCCCTGCACAGATGGCAAAGCTTCTGGAATAGAAAGGGGGGCAGAGTGGCCTGGGTCCATGATGCACCAGGCCCTGACAACTTGGCCTGAGGCCCTGAGGCAGACTACCACAGAACAGGACACAGGGAGCAGGACACAGGGAGCAACCCGGTGGGGCCCTGGCTCAGCCAGCCCACGACCCCAGCTGCACAGCAGCTCCAGCGTGTAGCGACCACTCCACGGGAAGGCTGCCAGGCGGCCATCCTCAGGTGCCCTGAGGCCACCTCCAGGACTTCTGAAAACCGTCAGGGGTGTAGTCTGCCAACCATAACATCCACGTTAAGCATGCGGACTCGGGGACTCTTGGAGCATGGGACTCAGGATAGTGCACCACCATTGAGCCTTAGGAGGCCTCAGGACCCAGTGAGACCCTGCACGTGTCCAGAGCTGGTGTCCTCCCGTCACAGCCACTGGCAACCATGAGTCCCTCTCCACCTCCCCAGTCTGTACCCCTGGCAGTTCGTTTAAACATAACTGCACGATCTGGGTGCTTCCATTGGTCTCACACTTGGCTGCTTCCACCCAGAGCCACATTTCTGAGGCTCACCAAATTGAGGGGAGCTGGAGAAGGTGAGTGGAAGTGGGACAGGAACCCGGAGAGAGCTGGGCCTCTCTTCCAACCCGTTGCCTGTGCAGGAGCCTCCATGTCCCCATCATTGGCCTTGGCCTGTGCCCTCCCAGCGATGGCAGGTTCCCTTCCAGAAGCTCGGGCAGCACAGGTGGGCCAGGCAGGGCTTGAGAACTCGAAGGACTGGTATCTGCACCTGGTCCTGCCTTGTAGAAGCTGGGTAACCTCAGGTTTGTGATTGAACCTATTTGAATCTTGGTTTTATGAGCCTCAAAACATTCCTTCCCCACAAGATGAGGGCTTGCAGCTAGTCTGCCCTTGGCACGCTGCATTCAGTACAAACTCCCTCCTCCCTGACATCCAAGATGATTCCTAATTTTGTTAACCTCAAGCCCAAAATATGCACCCTTGCCCTGTCACCCCTGGGCCTCAGTTCTGGACCTCAGCTACTAGAGGGACCAACCACAGGTCCCGACAGGTATTGGAGAAGGGTTTGGGGCATCACTTTAAGAATGGAAGCTTTGCTCCTGGGCGGGGTGTATAGCTCAGTGGTACAGTGCTCTTTGGCATGCCTGAAGTCCTGAGTTCCATCCCCAGCACAGAAAAAAAAAAAAAAAAAACCAACCTCTGCTACTTAAATAATATGCAAAATGGGCAAAGGAACAGAGTGCCAGCTCACAGAAGAAAATTCATACATGAGGTGGACATGGTAGTGCACACCACGATGCACACCACCTCCCAAGGGCTCAGGAGTCTGAGGCAGGAGGATTGGGAGTTCAGAGTCAGCCTCAGCAACTTGGCGAGGCCTAAGCAACTTGGCAAGATCCTGTCTCAAAGTAAAAAATAGAGAGGGCTGGGATGTGGCTCAGTGTCAAAGTGCCCCTGGGTTCAATCCCCAGCACCCCTAAAAAAATTAAGGTGGAGGGAGTCTAAGATTTAGTAATTTCCATCTTCAGTATCTGCTCAGGAAGACATCCGTATTAGGAAACCTACCAGGATGTTCTCCGAGGGTTGCTTATAAAACACAGGAAACGGTCCAGTTGCACACTGATGGCTAAATAATCCATGCCTACCCATACAGTCACGTATCAATTGCTGGGGAAAAGAACATGCTGTGTGATCAGATGAAGAGGACGAAGCCCTTGCAGAATAATCTGTAAAGTGGAATCCACTGCATTAAAAAAAAAAAAAAAAAACTTAAATATCTATGGAAATCATGTATGCATAAGTGTGAAAAGAAAGACCACCAAATTATCAAGGGTGATAATCAAACTTATCAAAGGAGCCAGGGTGCCAAGGGGCACCCTAACCACACATTTAAACCTGTACAAAGAAAGTACAGTCGGCTATTTCTTATGAAATTCAAACAAAGGTTTTTAAAATATGCAGTGAAAACATTGTTTCCATACATGACAATTATCTACCTCCTTGGAACACAGAGACCTCCTGAGTTTAACTAATTTAAAAAATACTTGGATGTGAAACATGAAATTTTTATACAAAATTACCTCAGAGGTTTGAAGTGCACACAAACAGGCCTCGAAGGAGACCCAGAGTGCGCCAGGGGTGAGCCTGAGCTGGGCCTGGGCTGGGCCCTGGTGTGGCCCTGGGCTGGGCCTGGGCTGGGCTTCTAGGATGGGCCCTGGGGTGGCCCTGGGGTGGCCCTGGGCTGGGCCTGGCCTGGGCTTCTGGGATGGGCCCTGGGGTGGCCCTGGGCTGGGCCTGGGCTGGGTCCCCGGCTCCCTCCCTCCCGTGTCCTACCCATGGAGTCAGGGCTGAGCATGGCTGTGTCTCTCCAGGTCTGCCCTGTGGCATTGTCACCCTCAGCCTGCTGGTGGCCGGCATCCTGGTCCTGCTGGTGTCCCTGGGCGTGGCCGTCCACCTATACTGTGAGTGGCCCTTCCTCTACTAGCCGGGGGCCTACTGGGGTCTGCAGTGGCTCTAGGGTGGTCTCTTCTCTGGGGGAGCAGGGCCTGCTGGGGACTTGCCCCAGGGACCCTGTGGCGCTCCGAGGTGACCCTTCTCCTGTTTGTCCCCCCACCCCGTGGCCCTGGTACTGGAGAGGGAACCCAGGCCTCAGGCTTGCTGGGCAGCACCCGGCCAGAGGCCTTCTTGGCCTCGGCCATGCTGCATCAGAGGCGGCCGTCTGTGGAGTGAGGCCGACCTGGCTCTGAGTCCAGTGCTGCCACCCTCACCCATGACTGGCCTTGGGCCTGGCCTCTCCCTCGCAGAGTGCTTGGTGGGCAACATGTGCTCAGTACGCGGGGACTCCTGTGAGCTGTGGGGACTCCCGTGAGCTGTGGGGGCTCGGGCCCAGGGCCCAGGAGAGACCGCTGGTGGGGTTTGAGTAATGCTCCTGAGTCCTCCCTCTCGGGCAGGCTGCTCCCCTGGTCCCTCTGGGCTCCCAGGCTCCACCCAGCATAGGCTCCTACTAAGGGTGGGGGGAGGCGGGACCCAGGCTGCCCTCCTCCAGCTGTGCTGCCCTGGGCACATGGCCGCCCCTCTCTGAGCTTCTGTAAGACAGGCAGGGTGGCACATTAGAGGCAAGGCCTGGACCACAGCCCTTAACTTGTACAGGTCACTGAGCCCTGGGGAGGTGTGATGTCTTGTGGATCCTCTTCTGCCCACCGCTGCTCCCTGCAGTGGGTCTGTGTGCCCTGCTCTCAGAACCCCCTGAAGCTCAGGGACTGCGGACTTTCCTGATTAAGGACCTTATCAGTAAAAATTTTAAAAACTGGTCTCATTAAATGCAATTGCCCACTTTATTTATCAATATATCCCAGGTGTTTCTAAGTGGGCTTCGGAGGTCAAAGTAACGAGGGGGAGACCAAACACGAGAGACTTGCTCCGGCTTCCTTCCCACCCCCCAGGAAGTCTGGAGCCACCTCTCCCATCTGACCTGCATGTCCTCTGACACCTGCCTGGCCCTGGGCAGGCCACTCAGTGGCCCCCTCACCTATGCCTCAGCTCCTGTGGGTAACGGGTCAGTTGTAGCGTCCACCTGACAGGTTCTCAGTGAGCATGAGGGGCCACAAGTGTGTTAGGGGCTGGAGGCAGAGCATGGTACAGAGGTGGCCTGAGGTGTTGGCCAGCCCTGTACTCCTGTGGTCCTCTGGGTCAGTGCTAGTGGTCCACAACCTCCACTGACCGGCTCTTTACTCTCCCTTCCAGGTCTGCAGAGGAGAACCCGGCTTCGCTTCATAAAACAGTGAGTGTGTGGGGCTTCTTACAGGGCCCCGAAGGCCCATGTGGCCCTGGACGCTGGGCCCTGCCCCGTTTACAGTCTCCCACTGCAGCTGGGAGCAGAGTCAGCTGTCACCTGCAGAGAGCCACAAACAGAGGGGGGAGAGAGGGGTGACCTAGAGGAACACAGACACCACTCGGGGTGTTTCAGTGGGGGAGTGCTTAGCTCTCAGCTCTGTGGGTTGCACTCATCAAACCTACAGGCAGAGCACCCTAGGGGGCTGGGGAGCCCAGGCTCTGTCCCAGCTCCATCCACCTGGGCCTGCGTGAGGGGAGGGCCATCACCCCACTCTGCAGATCAGGGGAGGCGGGCCTCCCCTCCACAGTTGCTTCCCTGCCCAGAGCTGGCCTCCCCTCTGCTGCCTGTAACCCCACCTGGTACCAGGACAGGCTGTGTGTCAAAGGGCCCTGGAGGCCGCCGAGTCCCTGAGCCAGCCACGTCTTTCTGGCGATTTGCAATGAGTCTCATGCTGGGCGATTTCACCCAGGGGTCGGATTCAGAAACCCGTCAACCTCAGGGATGAGAACTTGAGGGCATCTGCCAAAGGCCAGCCCTCCGGCAAGAAACCCGCTCAAAATGCCCCACATGATTTGTGTTGGTTTTCGTTTGTTCTGGGTTTTTTATTTTTGTTCCTGCTGCGGATGGAGCCCAGGGCCTGGCAGGTGCCGGGCAAGCACCCTACTGCTGAGTGACACCAGCCCTTTTTACTTTATCTCTCTAAGCTGCCCAGGCTGGCCTTGAACTTGTGACCCTCCTGTCTCAGCCTCCAGAGTTGCTGGGATTACAGGTGTGTGTCCCTACACCCAGCTCCCATGGCGGCCTCTTAAGAAGAACAGAGCCCCGCTCTGGGCACACCCTGTGATCTGTCCCCAGACTCTCTTGCTTTAACTTGTTCCCCAGTGACCTGAAATCAGTTCTGGATGAGCCGGAGGCAAGACCTCATGCTTTGGCAAACCAGGGTTCCTAGCACCAGTGGAGGGAGGGAGGGTTAGTGGTCACAGGGCCTCTGCGCCCACCTCGCCCTCCTCAGTTGAAACAGCTCTGCTCTCATCTGCTGCCTGGGTTTACATGTTCTTGTAAGACGTCATCTGAACAAAAGGGTTTGTGGCTAAAAAAAGCTTGCAAACTGCCTCTGGTCTTGCTGTCTTGATCCAGGTATGGTGAGGAGTCCCTGGGCCTCACAGAGTAGCTGTTCCAACCTCCAGCTGCGGCTTGGACGCACGTCCTGCAGCCCCACAGCCCCGACCTGTGGGAAGAGCCACGGTCAGGCAGTGTGTCCGGCCCTCGCTGTGCATTTGTACAGGCCCCGGAGGAAGTGAGGCCTCGGAGCTGGGGTGCCCTGGGCTGGATACTCTGGGTTCTGATCCTTGGGACTTTGAGCTTTCAAGTTTTGTTGAATTACCAAGCAGCGCCCTAAGAACATCCTCACACTAACCATGGCCCTGGCTACTGCAATCGGCCCACGTCTGTCATCTGCTGAACATGAGTGTCTCACCCCTTCCTGTTTCAGGTTTTACAAGTGAGCAGACTGCACCAACACGAGGAGACAGATATCGGTCAGCAATAGTCCGCACAAGTGGGAGAGGGTCATTCTTGCTTCGATGATCACCCTCTCGAGCCGCCCGCTTTTAACTACAGCAAGTTCTTTCTTCAGGCCTCGCATGTGGGAGCAGTTTGTGAGGCCCCAGGCCTCGGGTCCCCACCAAGCTGGCTGGGCGCTCAGCAACACCACCATGGCACCTCTTCTGGCTCCTGCCCTCCCCCCGGGCTTTGGTGGGGCCCAGTAAGCCACCATGGCTGCCATTTGCTTTTCCTGGCAGAGTGGTGACATTGGCTCCTGGGGCTCGTGGAATGGAGTTGGGATGGCCTCCTGTGCGTTCCCAGGCCAAGGCCGATGTCCTCCCTGCCCTCATGGTGGGAGGCCAGCTATGTTGAAGGCTCCTGGCAGCCCTGTTGGTCTCTGAGGCCTTCCCCTCTACAAGGGAGTCTCTCAGGTTCACGTCTCCTCTCCCATGGCTTGTTTATTTCTTCTCCCACTCTCTGCCCTTTTTATGAAAATGTCTCGGTTGTAAAAATAAAGTCCTGGGTTAAAGATGCAGTGACTCCTGTTATGACAAGAGCCACTTACAGGAGAACGCTGACGCTCAGTTGAGGAGAAACAACAGGGACGTGATTTGTACGTCCTCATTTTACATCTGAGATGCACGTTTGTAAACACCAGTGGGTGTACAGACTGGGGACAGGGAGCACCAGGACACCCAGAGGCCAGCGCCTCCTGGCTGAGTGACTTCACTGCTCTTGCTCTTGAGGGCTGAGCCCCAGGGACTGCTGGCCTCAAGCCACCTGGGAAGGGAGAGACAGCAGGTTGTCCACCTTTCATTGGTCCCTCAGCCTTGGTGGCCAAGGAAGGACAGGCAACACCGAGCTGGGTGCAGAGGAGGACCTGGGCATTTTGGAAAGGTCCCTGTGTGTCCTCTAGTCCTGCCCTGGGCTCTAGGGCCCAGGGACTGGTGAGCAGACCTCCTCCGCCCAACCCGGAGAACCCAGCCCACCTGCTTCTCTGTGCCTGCTCAGAGAAGGGTGTGGGCCACCAGCTGTGGTCAGAGGCCTCTGGCAGCCACAGAATGTTAACATATCGCAGAAAACAGGAAAGAAAAGATGGCTGGGGGGCGGGGGGGGGGCAGCGCATCCCCTCCAGCATCTGAAACGCAGGTGGCTGGGGGCAGGGCTGCGCATGGGCCGGGGGCAAGGAGGGCGCAAACGCAGTGGCCTCCAGAGGAGCCGAATCTTCCTGCCCATCAGGTCTGGGAACAGGGACGGGCCACCTTCCATGGCTGAGGGGAGAGGTAAGAGGCTCGGGCTGGCCGGACCCACGTCCCTCGTCAGGCAGGCCCTGGCCAGGCCTCCTGTGTGAGCGATGAGAGACTGAGGCCCAGACTGAGCACACTCCGGCCGCAAGCAGCGGAAGGAAGAACAGGCCAGAGGCCCTGGCCCCAGGGCTACCTGCTGCTGTCTGTGCTTTGCTGCTGCGCTGGGACCGGCCTGCCCCCCATCTGTCTTCCGGGCCACAGGCACCCACCTGCAGGCTCAGCTCTGGCCGCCCAGGAGCCACAGCAGCCTGGCGCATCAGTGGGGGCTGCGGTGAGGAGTCTGCACCCAGCACCTGGCTTGGGTTCTGAGGAAGACACTGAGCTGCAGCCACCATCTTGGGGACACTGTGGCAAGATACATGCACAAGCAACCGACCGCCATCCTCTGCCTGGCACACATTGCCCAGGATACTTCAGAAGTGACATATACAAAGAACACGCATGAGATTGTTCATGTGCTCCTGGTTTTCAGGCCCCAGCTGGGAACAAGCTGAATGCCCATCAAAGGGACCAGATAGCAGTATGACAACACGGCTTCACGGGGTCCAGACAGCTGCCAGGAATGGCTAGACCCCAAGTGACAGCCACTTCACCTGCCTGTATCCCAAGGGCAGGGAACAGGCCCAGGCAAAGCACCAACCAGACGCCAGGGCCAGCCTCCTGCTGCCCTGGGAGGGAGCAGGAGGCCTGGGGGCTCTGCTTCTGCATCTGGGGGTCAGGCGCGGGAGGGCATCCAGTGTGGCGACTTGCTGAGCTGCAGGTGGGCCTTCCACGGTGAGGATGTAGAGGAAGAGTCACAAGAAATTTAAAAATCCAAACAGAGGAGCCTGGGCTGGGGCTCAGCGTGTGAGGCCCTGGGTTTCATGCTCAGCACCAAATAAAAAGAAAGAAAGAAATATCCAACTACAACTAAAACATTTTTTAAAAAAATCCAAATAGAGAACATTGCAGATCATCAAAGCATGTGTTTAAAATTTTCTCATTCTTCCAGACTTCTGTCTGCACATAGCTTTTTCAAACCAAAAATTGAAATCTTATAAATGCAGAATATGATAGAGAAAATGCTTAATACATAATATATAGAACACAGAAGATTTGTTGTTTTACAAATTTGATTTGTGTTCTCTAAGAATATATCAAGGCTTCTGGGTTCGTGTGTGTGTGTGTGTGTGTGTGTGTGTGTGTGTGTGAAATCTCGAGGGGTTTATGCAGCCATTCCTGGCTGTGGCTTTGGAGGATTTCCAATACCGTTGTGCTCAGGGGTGTTGTGTGAACCTTTGGGACAATCCAATTATTATTTTTGTAATGGGGGAGGGGACAAAAGTTTGGAATAAAGAAACAACTTCTTTTCAAAAGGACTCTGATTCTTGTTATTGTATAAAAACGATCGATTCAACTTAATAATCCAAATTTGTCCGTAAGTTAGGGTTTTGAACACTGACACCAAGGAAGTCACTGTGTCTGAATCCAGTCAGCAGCCAAGTGCGGCTCTGGGCTGGCTGAGGGACTGGGCTTCCCCTGGAAACAGCCTCCACAGCGTCTCCCTCTCTGTGCTGCAGTGGCCTTGACTGACCCCAGTGGGTAGAAGGGTCTCGAAGCAGCGGTGCCCCGCTGCTCTTGTTAGGAAGCCCCAGGGCCGGTTCTCAGGAGGAGAATCTCCAAAGCCACCCTCCTTTCATCCTGACTCATCCCGCACCTGGGTCTCTGCCTGTAGGAAGTGGGCTACTTGTTTTCAGAAAGAGATCCCCAGCTGCGTGGGCTGCTGGGCTGGCCCGAATCTACCACCCAGTCAGAGGGAAAGAGAAACTGCCCCGTCTTCACAGGCCTTCCCAGGCGGTGGGGATAGTTTCCTCTGTCACTTTCTTGGGAAACCTCCTCAGTGCGTCACCACACTTGGGGACCACGAACTCCTGGTTCCTGGACCTCTGTGGCTCCGTGACTCAGGGCTGGACCCACACAGAGGGAACCACGTTCCCACACACTCTGGGTTCACAGAAACATGCCCACACCTGCAGCTCCCAGTGAGCCCATCACACATGAGTGCCCACCTTCCAGCTTAGCCGTGCTGGACATGGAGCCCAGGGCCTCCTGTGGGCCAGGGGGTGCCCTACCACCACACTGCACCCCAGCCCTCCATACATTCTCAACTGTGATCACCTGCCAATCACATAAGATGGAACCCCCACCCCTCTCCGCAGGTGCCTTGGTGCCAGTTCAAATGTGTTTCCTTGGGGAGCTTCTGTGTGCCCAGCCGGCCCTAGGCTGGGGCCAGGGATGCAGCGTGGCCAGTCAGACCCAGCAGGGCCACAGGGCTCGGGGGTGCTTGCCAGAGGCACAGGAGTGTCAGTGCCTCCTTCCCAGAGCACCCCTGACCCCTTCCTGTCCCTGTACAAGTGGCCAATATTCACAAGGTTGAGCCAGAATCTAAATGAGGAGAGGAGCAGAGGGTCGTTCGGAGGTCCTCGGGCCTTGGCCAGCCCAGCGCGCCCTCCCCTGTCCCCTCCCCTGCATTTCCCACCAGCACCCCTGCACCTGTCCCCCAAGGCCGCAAGGACCCTGGGAACGTTGCTCTGCCGTGTAGGCCCCAAGCCCTGGTGAACAGAAGCTCAACATGCAGACATTCAATGAGCACACGTGTTCAGGCCCTAGAGATTCAGCACTGTCCCTAACCCCATGGTGACATTGCAGGGGACACAGACACTGTGGCACTCACACAATTCCAAGTGTGGCCTCCCTGCCACTCTGGTCCCATCTCTGCACCTGCTCTGGGCAGACAATAAACGAGGGGACGGAGATGCTCCCTGCGAGGCAGAGGCATGAACTGCCTTCCCACAAAGAGCTGCTAGGCGACAGGTGTCCCAGCCCCTCCCACAGCAGGCTGGGAGGTCCTCACAGGTGGGTAGGGCAAGGGGCGGTGCTGGCTGGCAGGATGGGGTGGAGGCCCACCTCCCCAGCACGTCTGCCCAACCTGTGGGCCTTGAGCTGGCTGTGGGACTTATCTGCTGGCCAGGCCAAAGGGAGGCCACTCCAGTCCTCGGCCCCTGCCACAGGCCTCTGCTAAGCTCTGGGGACATGGGGAAGGTCCAGCAAAGGGAATCAGCCAGCACAAGACTGCACCTGGCTTCAGAGAAGTCCCTGGCCAGGCTGGGGCAGAAGTGGGGCTGTGCTGACCCTCCTTCCATCTGGATATATATATATATATATATATATATATATATATATATATATACACACACACACACACACACACATATATATACACACACATACACACAACAGATCTTGTCGGGCATGGTAGTGCCACCTGTATCCCAGTAGCTTGGGAGACTGAGGTAGGAGGATTGCAAATTCAAAGCCAGCTTCAGTATCTTAGTGAGGTCCTACACAACTCAGCAAGACTCTGTGTCTAAATAGAATACAAAATAGGGCTGGGGGAGCTGGGGCTGGGGCTCAGCAGTAGAGCACTCACCTAGCACGTGTGAGACCTGGGTTCTATCCTCAGCACCACATATAAATAAATAAATAAAATAAAGGTATTGTGTCTGACTACAACTAAAAAAAGAAAATTATTACAAAAGAAAAAAATATAGGGCTGGGGATGTTGTGGGTCAGTAGTTGAGCGCTCAGGGGCTGCTGCCTACTGGGATGTTCTGCAGGCCAGCGCACACGACCGTCTTCCACTATGATATCTTCAGCTTGGGATGAGGGCACTGTCCAGAGCCATCATAGGTCAGGGAGCTTCTGTACTTCGGGGAGGAAAAGCAGGACCCAGGAAGGAGCTAAATAGGGCCCTTCTTGTAAAGCAAATAACCACCTGCAGAAAGCCGGGTTTTGTCGAGTCCTGAATGCGGGACCACAGCAAGCCGGAGCAGGCTGTGTGCCTCTGCAGTGCTGGGCAGGAGTGGGAAGGGCCAAATCCCCAGGAACAGGAACCAGTTTCATGTACATAGCAAGAAATTGAGACAAAGTATTCTTCATTTTATTTTTATTAATTAACAACTTAAAATGTAATATTTTAATACATAGACAAGCTAAGCATCAATGTTTCTATTTATTCTGGCACTAATTCCAAAAACCATC